ACACGTGTGGTTTTGTTTACAGTTTCTGGTTCACTTGCAAAAAGGGAAGTGTGAAAGCGAACCGCACTAAACCAAAAAAATCAACATTGTATTTGGTCCAGACCAAAGCAAGTGAACTAGCGGACTTTCCTGGTGTGAATACACCCTAATATAAATGACAAAAACACACAACAAAATTACTAAAACTTTAACTAAAATTAACATTGAAAGCAGAATATATAAATATTAAATTCAAAAACTATAGTAGTATCTTGATGATACTAAAATGAGGCTGTTTCTGATAGTAAATCGGACATTATTATATTATATTATATTATTATATTATTGAATATATAATGCAATTTATTATTTTTTCAGTATATTGAGTCTCACTGAAATTCTTTCCTTTCAGATGGTCGAAAGGCTTTCACTTCCTTTTTACAGTCTGAGTACAGTCAAGAGAACATTGAATTCTGGGAAGCCTGTGAGGATTTCATGCAGACATCAGTGGACAAGATGAATGTGAACGCTATAAAGATATTTGAGCGATACGTTGAAGCCGATTCCCCTAGCGAGGTGAGAGCGCTGCTTGACTGGAGTATATCTATTACCTTATCACATCTAAAATGTACTCATAAATATCCATTATTATTCTTTTTTTTAGGTGAATTTGGATTCGGCCACTAGAGAACTCACTAGAAAGAATCTGGAAAGGTGTGACGCATCCTGTTTTGAGGAGGCTCAGAGTAAAATCTTCACGCTCATGGAAAAGGACTCGTACAGGCGCTTCCTGAAATCCAAACTGTTCCTGGAACTGTCTCAACCACCGTTGGACAACAAACCCTGTTGTTTAGAGAAGAAAGGAAAACGTCACGTTTCTGAGTGCTTGCCTAGTTATGCCTAGCCAAATCATCTCCTCATGGATGAACTAAGAATATGAGGAACTTTGTCATAATGTGACTTCCACTCATTTGGTTTTGTAAAACTTGTTCGCGTTTATGAGTAAAAAGGTGGAGCTCATTAGATGGTTCAGTCATTGTGATTGTAACACTTTTAGCTTTGCAGTAGCATTAAAAAAGTGTGTAGTTAATCACTGCTTGAGCATGACGGTCATGTTCTGAACGGGTTTTGTGCAGGCAATGTTTTTACCATCAACAGAAATAACCTGCATCTACTCTTCAACCTTGAAATTCCATTGAATTGGCTTTGGGAAAACAATACACCTGTGATGTAGTTTCCAACTAAATGACTGTTACAGATAGAAACAGATTTTTGCTTAGGATTTTATTTGAGCTCTGAGGAGAATAGGACCATTAACATCACTAAAAACCAACTGTATTCTCTTTACTCTTGTAATGTTATGTAATCCGTATATTTATATATGTTTATGTATAAGCTCTCTTAACTTCAGAGGGGATGTATGTTCTTTCTACTTAAAATGTGAAATTTCCAGCATTTTCTTTTTGTATTGGCCACTCTTCATAATCCACAAAATGACAAGTGAATGTGATAAATGTGCATGTGCAATGTATTACCTGTCACTGCCAATGATTTACGATGCGTTCCACAGTGAAATCGTGTCTTGGCTTTAAGGCAGACATTACAAATCAAACCACAAATGCTCCTGTTAGAATAAATGGCCAAATGTGAGTTGTTTACATATTTGTTTACTGGTTCCATATTTATTCTTGTCATATTTATGAATAAAATGATATCATGAAATTCAAATGGTCTCATACTAGTAGATCCAACTGCTAATTTTACTTTTTAAAACAAAATGCAATTGAAGATTTATTCTTAAGATTTTTTTATACAAATTTATAAGAGTTTAGATGCAAAAGCCTCTAAGTGCCATTTGAAATTTTCTTCTAAAATTAGCATTTTTATCAGGCTCCTATAGGTTCAGTAATTTCACTTTAATGACAATGAGTAGGTTCTTTTCATTGCCATTAAAGTGAAATAACTGAACATGAAAATTCAGTTATTATAAAAAAATGCTAATTTTAGAAGAAAATTTCAGACAGCACTTAGAGACTTTTGCATCTGAACTCTTCATATATATGAAGATATATTTAGTTCTAAAGATTTGTTATACCCATTGTATGTATATGTATGTATGTATGTATGTATATATATATATATATATATAATCTTGTGTTGAATTAGTGTCCCACTTCAAAATATTTGATTGATTATTGAAAAACCAATGATTTTATTCTTTTGAACAAAAATGAAAACCATAAGACTCAATTCATAACAATAATAATATACTACTTATGCATATTTACCTAAATAAATAAATAAATATGCTACAAGGCTAATTTATCAAAGAACAAATAATTGATATGCCCTATACTGTGTGCCAAAAATATAAATGTTATAAACAGCACTTTTCACATAATAAAAAAGGAACACAGTTTGAAAGCAGCAGGACGGGGTGAAATCACAAAAATCAGAAGTACAAAATAAGTGTCAACTTGCCAGAGTTAGAATGTTCTATAGGAATTAGAGTTAATGCTCTTAAATGAGAATTCTGGTCAGCTATCCTTGTGGGGACTCTCCATAGGCGTAATGGTTTTTCTATTGCACAGACCGTATATTCTATTGCCCTACACCAACCCTACACCTAAACCTACCCCTCACAGGAAACTTTCTGCATTTTTAGATTTTCAAAAAACTTCATTCTGTGTGATTTAAAAGCTTTTGTACCCGTGGGGACCACAATTTAGGTCCCCACTGTGACACGAGTCCCCATGAGTCTGTGTGTATTCAGGTTTAAGTCCCCACCAGGATATATAAACCTGTACACACACACACACGCACGCACGCACGCACGCACACACACACACACACGCACAATAATTCTGTTTATATAAATGTAAAAAAAAAAAAAAAAATTAAATTGCATCAATTTTAAGGTACATTATTATTATTATTTAATTTAAAAAGGAAAATTTAGTGACCACATGGATAAGTCATGTTTTGCAGATCATAGCAACAAACTGTTGTTTAGGAAAATGTTGTGGTGGTGTTTGTTTTGATTTTGGTGTTTTGGAGAGAAAATATTTTCAAAAGGGCCTTTTTACTCCAAGGGGCTTTCAGCCCTTTTGCACCCTGTGCCTTCTGTTCAATTAAATTCAGCACAAAGGAAAATGCTAGTAAAATTGAGATATTGCTGATGACTTTGAGTGAAGGTCATTATGGAGGTTGCCATTACCATCACAGTTATTTTGACCATCCAGCTTTGAATATAATAGGTAAAACTTTCACAAAGTTACTCAAGTCCCATTACACTCTTAAAAATAAAGGTGCTTCAAAAGGTTCTTCAAGCGATGCCATAGAAGAACCATTCAGTCAAAGGTTCTTTAAAGAACCATCTCTTTCTTACCTTTTTGTAATCTGAAGAACCTTCTTTCACCACAAAGAACCTTTTGTGAAACAGAAAGGTTCTTCAGATGTTAAAGGTTCTTTATGGAACCATTTAGACAAAAAGGTTCTTCTATGGCATCGTGAAGCACCTTTATTTTTAAGAGTGTTTATTGTTTGTAGGTTGTTTTAGCTCACATTTGCTAAAACAACCTACAAAACCAATTCAATAACCATCTGCATAGCTGTTTTACATTCCCAAAAGAAATGTGTGACTTCTCAGCACCCCTCGTCTACACTGACTTGACATGTTTTGCCTTTGCCTGCAGTTACAGAGGAGCAAATGAGCGTCTGGTAGAGCAGAGAACAGGCTGTTTTTCTTGACCAATTTATCTCTTTCTCTCTCTGTTCTCTGTTCTGTGTTCTCTGTTACGTGGCAGGATCCTGCTGCAGGACAGCAGGCTGCTCATTATGGCTCAGCACAGGGCTTGATGTAATTACACTCTGCTCTGGCGCTTCAGGTGCTGCAGTGCCTGTTTGATCATTGCTATTGAAGTGGGCAACTTTTGAAATGGCAGACACATACAGAAAAGAATAAGCCATATTTGTATTCTGCATCTGAAAATGTATTTATCAGGTAACACTACAGGCCGAATTAACTAATTTTGTTTTCAGTGCACTGATTAAATAACTCTCGGCCAGTTTACCCAGGCGCTATTGGTGCTGGTACAGTGCTTTCCAAGGACATTTAAATGAAATCATAAGCTGTGTAAGAAATAGAGAAAGAAAGAATCATACATATAAATGGAGGAAGAAAGAAAGAAAGATCTGAGAAAAAAATCAGAATTGTGAGGAAAAAAAGGCTAACTATGAGATAAAGTCACATTAACCTTGTTTATGTGTATGTAGTGGTGCCCAAAACCCAATCCCATAATGCACCACAATAAGAAGTGTTCAACCCATGTTGACATCTACTACACAGGGAATCAGAAGAGAGACAACCATTGTCATTTTGTGATTCATAATTGCTTCATAGAAATTTCTGGTGCATAAAACTATATCAAATTATAGATATACAATCTCAGAAAAATGTCTAAAACTTAAACTGGGCAATACCATTTCAAAAGTACACTTTAGGTACTAATATGTACTTTTAGGACTTCCAGTTTCGACATGTCATGTAGCATGCTTTTTATGACAGCTCTGCAAAACTTTAATATAACTTTGTCAAAACATCTCTTTAATAGTTGTTAACATTAAAGTGCTTTTAAAACAACTGTATGTAGTTACATGTCTTTATGCGACTTTGGAGCCCCCTACAGTTAAGTCAGTGGAACTCACTGTCGTAAATATCTGTGGTAATTACAGTGGATTGCTGTACATGTGCGTTTGTTGCTACCGTAAAGCAATCCGCCATATTATGCGTATCATAAATTCGTACCCACTTACCCCAGAACAGAACTCGGTGTACCAACAAAATTATTCTGAAACTGATATTTCAAGGTAATAAACTTACATACAGTTGCTTTATAGTACAAATATGTACCATTTAGGGGTAAATAAAGTGAAAAGATGTAGCCTTTTACCTTGGGGCACCGTAGGTACAGCTTTGTACTTTTTTTCTGAGAGCGTATGAAATGCATTAAGCATCAATATAATAATATTGTTTTGGATTTTTGGGTGTTTGCTGAAAGAAAAAAACAAATGTTTCATAAGCCAAACTTACCAGTTCAGTATTTAGATTTTCTAGAATTTACATTCACCTATTGTAAATCTTGGTAGCCATCAAAACACTGCAAATTCACAGCTGTCTCTTTAATGAGAGTGGTCTGTTTTTACTACACAAATGACCATATGACGTGAGTATTTAGAGAGCATTATCTCTCCTTCCATCTGAGCCCTGCGCAGTCATTATCTGGTTTCTGGTTTTGTTTTTGTGTGTACGAGCCACATTTGTTTCCATTTGTGTGTATGCACAAATAGCAGGAACAGCATTATTGTGCCATAAGGGCATGATTAGCATCCTGGTCCACACACACACACACACACACACACACACACACACACACACACACACACACACACACACACTTGTACCTTGTTATAGCTGCAGCTCAAGCTGTCGTAAGACTTAACACCTGGATAAGATTTAATATTATTTGGCCCTGGTATGGAAAGAAATGGGACTGTTGTACATAGTTTCAGCACTGAGGTAACACCACCACAGTTGTGTCGAATGAACACTGCCATAAAAAGAAATTTGGCATGTGAATGGACAGGCTATTTGCGAACGGATATACAGATATACAGTGGCCATAAAAAGTATTTGAACACATAATATATTAATATATTTGCATGTTATTACAAAAATGTCAAACCCTGTGGCATTTATTTTAAAGAGGCATAGCACAAACACACTGTTCAAACAAAACATTTCACAATAGCAAGTTAATTGAAATTATAAAACAAGATATTGTTAAAAATGAAGATGAAAGTATTTGCACATTTTCTGAAGAAAATGCTCTTAGTTAATTTGACTATTTGACACTCCAGCTGTGTAAAACTTTGAAATCAATAAGCATTTTAATTGTTTTTAATTAATTAAAAAATGATTACTTTTTAAATGAAATGAAATTGTATTAATCAGTGAAGTGACAGTCATGGAGTAATGACTGCTGAGCATTCAGCTTTGCCATCATAAGAATAAATTAAATGTAAATTAAAAAAAATAATAAAATAAAAATAATTTTAAATTCTAATTATATTTCACAATATTACTTTTATACTTTTTTAAACAAAAATAAATGCAGCTTTGATCTGCATAAGAGACTTCTTTCAAAAACTAAAATAAAATAAAATATTTTTAATAGTGTACATCCATTGTCACCTCAGTCAATATTGAGACCAATAGTTTAAACATAATTTCAAAAATATCGCAGAAACATGAATTTGTGTTCAGTCCGAAGGTACAGTATGTGCATAATATTTCTTTCCAAAGTGACATTGCCAATTACCGACCTGGCATGCATAATACAGTGATTTTAGCTGTTTTTGTGGATCCGTGTGAGTGGGGATTGTTTTGACAACATTGTCATCTATACATGAAACAAAAATGCAAAGGAAACATTTCTGTTTTTAGCACTTTGTCATGTAAATACAGTATAAATAATACAAATACATTTAGACATTTTTAAATGTGGCTCAGAGTGTCCAAATACTATTTTGGTTCACTGTTTGTGATTTTGTACTTTTTCAATGGCTTAATTTAATATTCTGATTCGCCTTCTTGTCATAACAGAATGTTCGAAAGGGTTTAACCTTGTTTAAGCGGAGATTAATTGGATGCGTGCATTTGCTGTTTAAATGAAATGAGTTATGTTCTTGTCTGTCTTTGATAAAAGCAGCACAACAAAACAATTTAATTAAGAACAGTTTTGCTGATCTTGACCTATAGTCTGGACAAAGCAAAATGGAGATGCCCTTTTGTTTGGCATTTATGAAAAGGGTGCCTTTTTGATGCAACTCAGTAATGGTTGAAGAAATGTCTTTTCAGTTCCGCCAGTACACAAGGGGTTTAAGCCCCAGTCACGAGTCATACGTCTATTTCTAGGAATGAGAGTGGTAATGAATGTGAACATGTTTGTGTCTGACATTGTTTATTTTGGCAACCTTTCATCGCCCATCTGCTTTATCTCAATTTTCCAGCTCTCTCTTCCTCTGTCTTTCTTCTTATATCTTTCTATTCTTCACACTGATCCACTCATCTTATCATGGTTGTGTAAATTAAACACTCTGGCCGAGTGGCTAGCTTGCTGTACAGGAAGTCAGCATTATTATTTAAATTTGGCATTTTAACAAAATGTTAATTTTCAGATATTACTGAAATTCCATGCTTGCTGAAATGGAGTACCATTAAGCAATGTTGAATAATTCCATGATGACTCAAAACAATTACAATATAGAAGAGGGAAACAAAGCTTAACTTTAAAGTGTCTAAATTACTTCTGTTCAATCACTAGCCTTGCTTGTTAAAGAAAATGTCAAATTCAGGCCTCATATTTTTTTATAAATAACAGAAAGGACACACTCTTATCTTAGTACTTTTTACCTTGAAGATCAAACATACAGACAAGCAATCTTGAAGATAATAAATTAAAATCATTCATAATGGCTAATATGTACTGAAAAAATATCTGAAAAATATCTGAAAAAATAAATAAAAAATCTTCAGAACTTTAATGTGATTATGGACTTTATATGATCAACTACAAACATACATGCATATAGTTTTATGCAGATTTATTGAATATGCAAGGTACTCTGTCAGTCCTTACTGACAATTTTGACAAAATTTCGGTATTTTTTTAAGCCAATGTAATAATTTTAAAAGATTATTTTAAAAATGTAACTAATTCTTGTTGAATTCATTCCATTTCTCTTTAATATACTTTAGTTATTGATAGCCATATTAAACTAAACCTGTCCTGCAGTGAACTAATAATTTGCTTTTGGAACATCAGTAAGGACTTCTGGATGCACCTACCACTGCTCATTTATGAATGAAGGTTATTAGATTTAGTGACATAGCTACACACAGTATAATAAAGAAACATGCAAGAGTATATGTGTCTGTGAAACACACTTGAAATGCAAAAAACACTGAATATCACACATGTGGGTTACATATATTTGATATGCCTTTCTGTCTGCAATAACTTGACTCACGACTGGCTGCATATGCTAAGAGCAAATAATTGATGTTAACTTCAATAACATTTTGCAGCAATCATTCTTATTTAGAGTATAATAGTTTATAGGACTTATAAATGTATGGTATTGTGATAAATGGTTGCTTTAGAAAGTCGGAAAAAACACTCAGATATTTTGGGTTTCCATGACTTAATCTAAATGTGTTCTGCTTTTAAAGTGGCATGGGAATAAACATTGCCTTTAGAATAAAAAAGAATGTGCACAGTGCTTTACAGAGATTCCCTCCTACTTAATATTCCCTTCTTAGCAACTTTCAATAGCGGTAACCCAAACAACAAGTTCCCAGAGACTGGAGTGCATCTTAACATGTCACACTTTTTTTTTTAGCTTTGACTTATAGTTAGCTTTCAATACTAAGCGGGTCGTTTCCCCGTGATTTCCATTGGTTTACCATTTGGGCATTTTAATGTTAACACAGACATTTCCAAGAAAAAGCCCACAATCTCCCGTTCCCATTCCCCAGCCTCTTCCCCTCGATGAACATGCTGCTTAGATGCTCGGGTCAGAATGTCCTCATCAAAAGAACATGAAACACTTCTGCACTTATCCGAAAAGCCATAAATTACAAGTGGGGATCAGTTTTAGTCTTTATTTAGTCTACAGGGGTCAGAAAAGAGTGTGACTCCAATTAATAGGACATATATACAAGATTTTAAGAGGCGCTTCAAATCCTTGGCATTTTGCACTTGTACAAATTAAATGTTTGCTAATGACAAATCACACTTTTACAAGGAGCAATACTGTGTCTTAAACCCTAATCAACTTCTTTTATTGAAGTTCTTGACTTTGACATTCAGAGCACTGGGCAAGAATCACATTGTGTTAAGATGTTGTTGTTAGCAGTGGGCCAGTTCAGTCAGCTGCAGGGAGACATTGCAACCGTTCCCGATGTTTTCCACTTCCACCAACTGTGGTATCGTTTAATGAGCTTTAGAAATTTGTCAAAAAGTGTACATTAAAGACTTTGAGTAAAAATGATTTCTGTGACATAAATTTGTGATCAAAGTGATGAGTCTCCCTGCAGCTGGACAAGTCAGTTTACTTGAGGAGTTCCTGGTACTGCTCAGACCGCAGAAACCGACCGAAGGAGTCTTTCTCCATCAGGGTGTAGATCCGGCTCTGAGCCAGCTCGAAGGTGGAGGGAGAAAGATCCACCAGGTTCCTCAGAGTCACATCTTTGGTGCAGTGGTCGATGTTCACCTAAAAGCATGATATTGGTGATAAGGAGGAAGTGTGTAAAAGCCAGTCACAAAATGCTTCAAATTGGCCTAACATAATGAGTAAGAAACACATTATTTCAACTCTGACAGTTTCTCAGCACTCTTGGGGGGCTGAGGAGCAGTCAGTCTTCCGGAACGAAGTCATCCAATTTGACTGATTCCCTGCAGTTTTTACGAATACAGGCCTTATTAGAGAATTGCACTCTTTTTTTATTTTTTTTCCCTAAACATCACCATGACCATATCAATTTCCATACATTACTTGATATAGAAAAATGCCTCAGAAGTCTTTGAGTTGTGTTATTTATTACATTTGGACTTTTTCCATTTGTTTTGAATATGTGTTTTTATTATTACTGTTTTATATTTAAATGTATTTAGATTGTGGTTTGTTTTATTGTAATATGTGAAATCAAAGTGTTTGATCATAATATTGAATAAACAGAGCTAAAAAAAATTACGTAACCACAAATATTGATGCGGAAACAATCACAGAATTAGAAAAAAAGTTATATATAAAATGGCAACGAGATACTGTTTGCATTTCATTGATTTTAAAAATCTTTATGATCACTAAGAAACAAATGGCTGTTGTTAAATTTATCAAGGTTTGCATGTGTGTGTTCTCTAATGGCTGTTACATAACTATACTTTAAACCTTCGCACACGACAAATTATTATAATTTTTTTCCGTAAAATGATCATTTACTAAAATATTTTTTAACCTTTAAGAACAGCATTGGTTTAAAAGTGGGTTTTATTGGCACAGGGAAATTAGAAAAATTCTAAGAAATGACTTGGCGAATACTCAAGTGGAAAACTGCATCTTCATTAGGTTACATCTAGCCTATGGTGCTGAAATATCAAATATAAATAACCAGCAAT